GCACTTCCGAACACACACACGCGACACGCTCATTAATACGCGCGGCAAATTAATTCATGAGGCCGGCTTCCTAAATTTAGCGCCAAGGGACGGGGGGGGGGGGGGGGTGCTGGAAACGGCGGAAGACAGGAAAACTGGCCCCGGGCCGGGGTGACATAACGGATCCGAACGGAGCCAGCCGGTCATCATTCAGCATTAATAATGAGCGTTTTAAAATACTGCTTAAAAATAAACATACAGACACACATGCACTTTGGTAAAAATCGGTAAGGACTGAACAAGGACGAGAGGCGGGAGTAAAACAAGCTCAGAGGTTACGGCATTAGCGCTGAGGGAACTCACAGACGCGGATAACTCACCTCACAGACGCGGATAACTCACAGCGACTGGCCATTTTAACACTCACGAGGCCTGAACGTCGTGGGGTGTACTCAACTCAGTGCCTAAAAAGGAAGATGCCTCACATGCCGCCATTTTTTCACCGGACAGACGACCTCTCCATGATTGAGAGCGCGGCAACCGATCGACAACACCTGTGCCACAGCGCACCCTCAACGCCGGGAGAATTCAAAGGGGTTTCTTTTCCAAATTTGCAAAGATCGCTTTGCCCTCGGGGCTCAAAGCAGACACCAAACAAATGTCCCCCAGCAAGCACGATGGCGTTCCATTTTATCAGGAAACGCAACATGCGGAGTAAGCGGTGAACTCAGAAAGGAACTAAGCAGATTAAATAGCCTTAACTAAATTCAATTAGCGCGACTTGAACAGAAAGCTGACATAATAAGACATGAAGGCCTCATTATTTCTCTCATTATCATATGGCAACCAACACTAAAACAAACAATAAGGATGAAAACGCAGAAGCCGGCCTAGTCCACAGGCGGGAGGGACACGATTCGAGGCCAAACCGCTACTCGACAGTCCAGGAAACTTAGGAAAGACTTTTGAAGCAGTGACCAGACACCAAGAATACCGCAGGCCAGCTGCAACTCCACTGCCTGCACATGCCAAACAGCGACGTGCTCTGACGGCATGAGACTCCCACAGAAATGTACACGGAAGGCTGGGATTCGAACCCGCGGAAGCCGGCAAAAACAATGCTGCAAAGCTGGTGCTGGCGCGCGAGTGGAGATGCACCCAGTACCCAAATTCAGAGGCCTTGCCCCTTTCCTTGTTCCTCCAGCACACGCTGGGAGCCTCTTCTCTCTGTCAATGAGGAGCCTGGACAGCAATCGCACCAGCAGAAGCACCGGGTGGGTAAGTGGTGGACAGATCCGAGCAGGCAGGCGGGTGCACGGCAGCCATGACACCCCCGTGAGGGGCTGATCCCCCCCCTCCACCCACCCATCACAGATCTACCCTCAACGGGAAAACTAGAAGAGAGATCGGTGCCCATAGGGGCTCAGGCTTCAGACTGCTCCAACTCTGCCTCCTTCAGGACAGCGAGGGTAGTGCAGGGGAAGAGCGCAGGATGAGGATGGGGGTGGGTGGGGGGGGTAAATAAACACACGCTGAACAACACAAAAATCTTTACAGCGAATCAACATAACTGAGCTGAAAGAACTCTGTGTTAACCCCGAGAGAGAGGGGGAGAGAGAGAAAACAAGAGAGGCATGGAGGAGGGGGAGAGAGATACTGAAAGAACGAGAGCGAGAGGGAGGGAGAGACTGAAAGGAGGAGAGTGAGCGAGCGAGCGAGGGAGGGAGGGAGGGAGGGGAGACTGAAAGAACGGGAGAGAGAGAGCGAGGCAGAGAGCAGGAGGACGCTGCATTAACACGGCAGAAGACTGCAGCCCTCGGACGGCGATGCGACAGCAGCGTACCCACGTCTCCACCGGAGGACAAAAGGAAGATAGCGCCACCTGGCCAGGCTGCCCGTGAGGGAGGCGGGGGGCGAGGCAGAGCGCGCCGGAGGGGCGCCGCCGCCGCGGGGGGGGGCAGCCTCAGACATGCTGCCGTGGACTAGCTGGGACCGCGCTTCTCCGGCTACTGGCCCGAGCGGCTCCCAGGTACTCGCCGCAGTCCGCGGCTGCAGGGACACGTGACGCCGAAGAGCGGCTAAGCTGCGACGCCAACCAGGCACCAGGGGGACACAGCCAGCGAGGAGCGGAACGCGGGGGCCGGAGCAGAGCTCAGCCCCGGCAGCGCAGGGCACGGATACTTTTCAAACCCGCGTCGCGC